GGGGGGAGCTCTGCAGCTTACCTGGCTGCTTCTTGCTCTGACTGAGGGCTGCTGGGAGCAGGGGGTGGGGCTTGTTGCATGTGCCCGCCCCCTGGGCTCTTTACTGCCGGAGCTCCGCTCCTGTGCGCTCCTGCAGGAAATGACCCCTGAGTAAACTAGAGGACTGTAAACTGGACTCTAGGATAGTTAGGTGGATAGGGAAATGGTTGGGGAACCACACTCAGAGAGTAGTCAGTGGCATTTCATCTGAACGAAGGGAGGTGTCCAGTGGGGTGCCACAGGGCTTGGCTCTGGGCCCAGTACTTTTCATTATTTTTATAAATGATCTGGATGAGGGTGTGGAGGGGCTACTCATTAAATGTACAGACGACACCAAATTGGGAGGAACAGAGAACACACCAGAAGATAGAGATAGAATTCAACAAGACCCGAACACACTGGAAAAGTGGGCGTATGTGAACAAGACGCAATTTAAGAAGGAGGAGGGGGACTGGATTTATACCCCACCCTTCACTCGGAGTCTCAGAGCGCCTTACAAACTCCTTTCCCTTCCCCTCCCCACAAAAGACACCCTGTGAGGTAGGTAGGGCTGAGAGAGCTCTGACAGATACTGCCCTTTCAAGGACAGCTCGTGTCAGAACTATGGCTTGCCCAAGGTCATCCAGCAGCTGCAAGTGGAGGAGTGGGGAATCAAACCCAGTTCTTCCAGATTAGAGTCCATGCACTTAACCACTACACCAAACTGGCTCTCTTTAACAAGTATAAGTGCCAAGTTCTAAATCTGGGTAACAAAAATGAGGAACGCATATACTGGATGGGGGAAACAATTCTGGGTATCAGTGTGTGTGAACAAGATCTTGGGGTAGGGGTGGACTAAAAGTTAAATATAAGCAGCCAGTGTGATGCAGCGACCAAAAAGGCTAATGTGATCTTGGGGTGTATCAACAGAGGCATAACATCCAAATTGCAAGATGAAGAGAGGAGAAGAAGAGGAGAGGAGAAGAAGAGGAGAGGAGAAGAGGAGAAGAAGAGGAGAAGAAGAGGAGAAGAAGAGGAGAGGAGAAGGAGAAGGAGAAGGAGAGGAGAGCAGAGGAGAGGAGAGGAGAGACTGGATTTATACCCTGCCCTTCATTTGGAGTCTCAGGGCGGCTTACAAACTCCTTTCCCTTCCCCTCCCCACAACAGACACCCTGTGAGGTAGGTGGGGCTGAGAGAACCCTGACACAAACTGCTCTTTCAGGAACAGCTGTGCCAGAGCTTGTGACTGACCCAAGGTCACATCAGCAGGTGCAAGTGGAGGGGTGGGGAATCAAACCGGGTTTTCCCAGATTAGAGTCCACGCACTTAACCACTACACCAAAATGTCCTTGTCCCACTGTACACTGCATTGGTCAGGCTGCACCAGGAGTATTGTGTGCAGTTCTGGAGACCTCACTTCAAAAAGGCCATGGACAGAATGGAGCGTATGCAGAGGAGTACGACGAGGATGATCAGGGGCCTGGAAACCAAGCCCTGTGCGGAAAGGCGGAGGGACTTGGGAATGTTCAGTCTGGAGATGAGGAGGTTGAGGGGGGACACAATTGCTCTCTTGAAGTATTTGAAGGGCTGTCACTTCTTAGAGGAGGGCAGGGAGCTGTTCCTGTTGGCAGCAGAGGAGAGGACTCGCAAGAATGGGTTTAAATTAAGGGCGGGAAGGTACCAGCTGGATATTAGGGAAAACTGTTTTACAGTAAGAGTTTTGCAACAGTGGAATCAGCTGCCCAGAGAGGTGGTGAGCTCCCCCTCTCTGGCAGTCTTTAAGCAGTGGCTGGACAAACACTTGTCAGGGATGCCCTAGGCTGCTGTCAGTCACAGTAGACAAGAGCGACCTTGATGGACTAATGGAATAAGGAGAGCGCCCCTGGCTCAGTGGCAGAGCTCCGGAGTTGGATCTCACATGCTGCAGCAAAGAGAGGAGGGAATGGACTGGCTTGGCCTCAGAAAGGCTAACACAGCCACACGAATGCAGGCCATGTGCTGAGAACAACAGGACCAGATGGGCCGCGTCCGACAGGAAAGGATCAGGGACGCCTGCCAGCCCAGCTCTGAAGACCGAATGTGGCGCTCAGCCCTGCCTGCTTCTAATTTGTCACACGGAATTCAGTCTCAGGGGAGAAAAGCGTGGCTTGGGAAACCGAGCCGCGCACGCGGTGTGTCCAGCTGCAGCCGAGGGAACGCATAATCCTGTGGCTGCGAAGGGCCAGAAAGTCTCCTCTGTCTTTTGGAATCCCTGGAGCAGGAGCCGAGTCCGCTTTTGTGGCCGCAGACACAACCGCTAGAACTTCCCCGGGTGAGGAACTCCCCGATGCCAGGCTTTTTTGCACAAAGGAAGTTTTCTGCTTACTTTTGAAAGTACTATTCTGGAGGGTATCATCCTCCTTCCAAGTTGCACCCCCAGATGAAGATCCCTGGGGTGCAACCAGAAATTAGGTGTCTCTCCATGCTTATTCCATCACTTGAGCAATATTTGTTTTCCAGGAGAATACAGTACAGAGGTTGTGATTTAACGGGCAGGAGCAATGTGGACACAGAGGTGCTGCTTAGCCCCTTTCCCCTTTGTGCTACTTCCCTGCCAGACTTGCTGTGTCCACTAGAACAAAGTCTGAGTCCAGTGGCACCTTTAAGACTGACAAAGGGTGAACCGCCCTTTGTAGAGATCACTATGGCAACTGCTGAGTGGGTCCTGAACGGGAGCCAGTTTGGTGTAGTGGTTAAGAGCGCAGACTCTAATCTAGGAGAACCGGGTTTGATTCCCCACTCCTCCACATGCAGCTGTTGGTGTGACCTTGGGTCAGTGACAAGTTTTTTCAGAGCTCTCACGGGCAGTTCTTGAAATAACTCTCTCAGCCCCACCTACTTCATAAGGTGTCTGTTGTGGGGAGGGGAGGGAAAGGAGATTGTAAGCTGCTCTGAGACACCTTCCGGTAGTGAAGGGTGGGGTATAAATCCAATCTCTTCTTCTCTTCTTATTTTTTTCAACATAGGCCCGGCACCAGAGTCGCCCTTGGTTACTGGAAATTGAGATTTCTGCCATCTGCTGTTGATTTTTAGAAATTTTAACTTTTTAATGATTTTGTGTTTGTACTGGATTTATTACTATGCCTGTATTTGGACCGTGGTGACCTGCCCTGAGCCCACTGGCAGGGAGGGCGGGATATAAATCCAATAAAATAAGTAAGTAAATAAATAAATAAAGTTTGACTCTGGGCATAAGCATGTGTGTGCACGCAAAGTCTGAGTCCAGTGGCAGCTTTCAGATCAATAAAGTTTGATTCTGGGTATAAGCTTTTGTGCGAATACACACTTCTTCAGATACATAGAAGTGTGCGTGTGCACAAAAGCTTATACCTAGAATTAAACTTCGTTGGTCTTAAAGGTGCCACTGGACTCAAACTTTGTTCTGTTGCTTCTGACCAAGACGGCTGCCCACCTGAACCATGCTACTTCTGGCCTGCTTTTCCATTACCATGCAAAACAGTGTGGTCAGAAACACAACAGAGGAATGTCCTCCGGTCGTCTCTCCGTTTCACCACTTACAGGAACATTGGTCAGAACGAGCAATCACAGAAGAATGAATGGGTGTTTGCCCTGGCGTGATGTTTCCCTGTAAACATCCAACTGCATTTTTAAAAAGCCCTGCTGTCATCCTCCATACACAGGATGAAAGGTGATTTTATTTATTTACTTTATTTATACTCTCCTTCCTCACCAAGACTCGAGGCAGATACACTCTGCACGTGTTCAAAGGCAACCTTTTACCACTACTCCATGTTTTCCATACTACCCAAAGGTGCCACCACCGCAACATTTTCTACAAGATAGCCACGTATAGTAACGTCCTTGCCTGGAAATAGGTTGACTGTAGAAAAGAACCTAAAGCTTCTAGCCCCAACCTGGCGGCTTCCTAGACACAGTCATGAGAGGGTACAGCAGGCTTCTGGGAGGGGCAAATTGAAAGGGTCTTTCCCACTAAAAGGAATGCAGAAGAAAGACCCAAGCAACCTCTCCCCACCCACACAATTGCATCATTCACAAACAGCTGGGGCAGGAACACTCCCAAGAGGCCACTGCAAGCGCAGGAGGCTCTATTAACACATGTACAGTTTTTACCTTGCGAGCGAGGCCAAGGGCAATGTAGCATTTCTCTCCCGGATCTACGATCTCCACCTCGAAGTAGTGACTCCTCGTGCTCAGGGGCTGCCGCGCTTGTGCCAAGCCCACATCAATAATGCTCTTCCCTTTTCCCACGTACTCCAAGAGCTGCAGAAGAAAGAAAGGCACAAGAACCCATCAAACTGAGCAGAACCAACAGCCCATCTAGCCTAACATTCTGGGCCCGTAACCTACAAAGCACAAGTGTTACTGAGTGTGGTTCTGCTAAATGGAAGCATGGTTGCGTTGGTGGAAGCACTAGTGCCTGTTTTTTCAATGAAACAGGAAACCCTCAGGGTCATTACTGATGCTCCACTGAAAGAAGAAGAGGAGATTGGATTTATACCCCGCCCTTCACTACCCAAGGGAGTCTCAGAGCGGCTTACAAACTCCTTCTCCTTCCCCTCCCCACAACAGGCACCCTGTGAGGCGGGTGGGGCTGAGAGAGCTCTGGCAGAAGCTGCTCTTTTTCAAGAACAGCTGTGCCAGAACTATGGCTTGCCCAAGGTCATCCAGCCAGGTGCAAGTGGAGGAGTGGGGAATCAAACCTGGCTCTCTCAGATTAGAGTCCGCGCACTTAACCACTACACCAAACTGAAAGCAGTTCGGCAATAAAACACAGTCTCAGATTAGGCCTTCGGATATATGTTTTTCTTAATACATGAACACACGAAGCTACTTTATATGGAGTGAGATCCTTGGTCCCTCAAGATCTGTATTGTCTATTCAGACTGGCAGTGGCTCTCCCGGGTTTCAGGAAGAGGTCTTTCACATCCCCTACTGCCTGGTCCTTCTAAGTGGAGGTGCCAGGGATTGAACCGGGGACCTTCTACATGCCAAGAAGATGCTCTACTATTGAGCAATTAAAAAATGCTTAACACAGCTCTCTTCTGCAAACAAAAAAATAAGCACTTCCACTAGGAAGCAACGCATGCGGATGGAAGTGAATGGGAAGATAGTAGCTTCTGTCTTCCAAGAGTGGCCAAGCAGATGCCTCAAGGGGAAATCACACACAAAGCCCGATAGCTACACCCAGCCGCTACTAGCCCTCAAGACTTGATTAGTCACATCCAGATGTTCATTACACAAGTGACACAGCAAATATCCGCAATATTTGTTTCATGAAGCCAAAACCTTCTCATTCACAGTAGACTGTAAGTGTCCTGAATACACAGACCGCTTTCCAGACAGCCATGGTAATTGTACCATAAAACCCATTTCACAGAACAGAGAAGCGACACAACGGCAAGCTGCCCAGCAATCAAAGCAGGCGGTCCATGAGCAACACTAGTTAGACTGCGCAAATACGCAATAGCTAGCCCATCTTGTGGCCTTTAGACAGGAAGCAGTGTGCAATGCTGACGAGCAAACAAAAGGAACTCCAAAACTCACCCTACTGCTTCTTCAGGAAACAGTGTCCCCAATGTGCGAAGACAACAAAGAAGATGTAAAGGATCTATAGAAATGGCTTTACCAAGCCTAAACTTTTTCCTACATACATTTTTTAAGTCTGCAGTTGTCAAGTACTCAGGTTGGCCCTGACCTGGATAGCCCAGGCAAGCCAGATCTCATCAGATCTCGGAAGCTAAGCAGGGCCAACCCTGGCCAAGTACTTGGATGGGAGACCTCCTTGGAATAGCGGCAGTGGGAGGCAGGGGCAGGCTTTATGCAGCCTCCTCTCTGAATATCCTCCAGGCCCCCAGTAGGGGTCAGTCACCAGAGGTCGCCATGTGCACAAATACTCACACACACATAAAAAATACAAAAAACCTCAAAAGAAAAAAAAAAGGCCAGGTTGGAATCTGACACAGACATTCCAGAAAAAAATCCCCTTGTCCACCATAAACACAAGTTATCATTCAGAGATTACAAACACCACCTTCGTATTCAGGTTTTTGAAGCACTATAGTACAAGGATTTAACCACAGCCTGCTCAAGAAGAAACTTCCTTGTGAACATAAAACACTGAGAGCTCTTGTCTGTCAGGTTTAGTAACCAGAAGTACCTATAAAGCAACTCAGAGACTCATCAGGGACAAGGATGTGTATATTCATGTGCAGTAATATATCTCACATACAATATACACACCAAGATTCGTACACGTCTGCTCAATTTGCATCACTTGCAGAATTTTACTGGGTTCAATGCCAAGCACCAAAACCTCAAACCCAACCACTGAACACGCCCTCCTTAGTCAGGTCTGTTCTTAGATTTGAAAGGATTCATAAAATCTCCAGAATCCATCTTAGCAGCCCTGCGGGCTAGCCTAGAAGCTTTGTATTTTTTCAGTAAATGAACACAGGTAGAGGAAAGAACTTGCTGTGCTGAAATCATGTGCAACCCCGAGAAAAGACGAAGCGGCCTGCTCGATGTTGCATCACCGATATTAAAGACCAAACAGGAGAAATCTATAGCATTTATTCCAGCTGAAGACCAGTGGTAAACTTACTCTGCAGAAGTTGGTGTAATTTGCATATAGCATCTTAAGTCCAAAGTGTTTGTGTGTGTGTGCAGACATCCAGAGCACGGCCACATATTGAACCAATCTTCCCAGGATTCTGCAGCGTGGAGGAAAGAATGCAAAACCGCTGACCTCTTTCCACTCACTCCCTCCTGTTGCCATCGAATTCTGAGAACCACTCATCCATCTAAGCACAAAGCCAACAGTTTGAACAGGAAGCAGCCGGCACAAAGAGTGACCTACGCCTGACAAGGATCTAGCCTCACACTCAAAAGGAGGAAGAAAAACTCCAGAGTTACTTTCTTGAGCAAGTTTCAGGGATTTTTTTTTTTAAGTGAATATTAACAGTTTTATTGGGATTTTCCGGCTTTCTTGTTTCCGGTTTCTTGGCTCACAGTAGGGCTGACCCTGTGAATCGATATGTCGATCAGACAAACACAGGTGAGGGGCTGTGGCTCAGTGACAGAGCCTTTGCTTGGCATGCAGAAGGTCCCAGGTTCAATCCCCAGCATATCTAGTTAGAATGACCAGGTAGGAGGTGATGTGAAAGACCTCTGCCTGAGACCCTGGAGAGCTGCTGCCAGTCCGAATAGACTGAGAATACCGATCCTGATGGGGCCAGTGCTCTGATTCAGTAATAAGGCAGCTTCACATGTTCACTCAGGAACAGGCAAACACCATTCTGGAGACCTAGCCCGAGGTTAGAATGGGTAGTGGTGACTCACTTGACAGTTCCGCCTTCCAACACAACACACGTACTCTCCTGTTAATGACGTGCCTTTTGAAAATTCCAAGTCACCAGAGGTAGAAAATAACAAAGTTTGAGTCCAGTGTGTCAGGTCCCCACAGCAACAATGAAGTACCGGCTTGTAGAAAGGTTTTACTTTTATTGAAGCCAAAGGTGCATTGACAGGAACACTGTTAGGAATGACTTGGAACCAAAGAGCATGTCAGGATATAGTACATTCAAACCAGCAGGACCCAACCACGGGAGTTCCCACGCGCGGCATTAGGCCTGGGAACTCACGGTACTAATAAGCATAACAGGTAAAACTTCCCACGACTCATCCTAGGGATAACCCAAGCAACCTCTACAGCAGCTCTCCTCCTGCGGCCTTGAAAGATACGTGTTGCTGTGGCAAAGCAATTAAGCGCAAGGAAAGGAATGCGCATGAAAGTGAAAGTAGAAAAAAAACTTGGCAGCTTGCTGACACAGTGGCATCTTTAAGACCAATAAGCCACCCCCTGTGCCTTCAGCAGATCATCAAGGACTCTGAACATCTACTATGGCACCCTGTCAGCGGGATTTACGTACAGGCAGCCGACCTTGTGAATGCATCAGACGCACCTCCCAGTCTGTATTCCCAGCTGCATTCTGGTCACGACACACTCTTCTGAAGAGCTGGAGTCATGTCACTTTTGACTCAGCCACCACGCATGGTTGCCACCACGATGCTCCCCCATGACAAGGTCAGGTCCCCAACAACCAGGTAGCATGACGGGGACCAGTGTTCCCTCTAAGATCAGTTAGTGTGAGCTAGCTCACAGTTTTTTAGCGTCTGGCTCACACATTTTTGTCTTAGCTCAGGAAGGGATGGCTCCAGAGCAAACTAATCTATGCAGTAGCCAAAGAGCTCGCTCACAACTTTAATGCCAGTAGCTCACAAAGTAGAATCTTTGCTCACAAGACTCCACAGCTTAGAGGGAGCATTGACGGGGACTTAGATCCACCCCTCTGAAGCTTGCCAAATAAGGTTCGGTATAGTTTTCAGGTGGGTAGCTGTGTGTTGGATCCCAAGCATTCAAAACAACTCCACGTTACAAAGCAAGTAAGGTTTATTTCAAAGCGTTGGTTTAACCAGAACAGGACATTGTTAGGAATAACTACAGGTAACCAGGGAAGGCATAATAAAGACATTTGAACCAGTGAAGGACCAATGGGTCCAGTTCCCGCTGGCGGGAATAGACCATACAGTTCGCGCCCATTGCATGGGAACGCAACTGTTCTATAATGTCAACACAGGTTCAGTTCACATGCGAGATACCCAAAACATGCTAGGCGAAGCTCTCCCCCTACACCCAGCTGCACGACCTTGGCAAGTTCCGCGGACTACATAACATAACTCAAGCAAACAAGGAACGAGAGGGAGGGGGTGCAGGGAACTACACAGGAACCGGAATGACAATGGCAGCTAGCTGACACCTTGGACTGCTGGACCTTGCTTCCTGTATAATGCTCTAAACTGGATTCTGCTGTCTTGGTGACTGGCCTTTGGACTAAACTTTGACTCTGACCCTGAAATTTGGCTTGGACTGACCCTAGACTCTGACACTCTGCTTCCCTGTTCAAAGACATCACTCCTGCCTCTGCAAGCCCCTGCCTGCCTGTGATCAGTCATCCATGGTCAGCCACAAACACCACTTCCGGGGCTCTCTAGACACTGTCTCAGATTACAAAGTGGGGTTGCCAAGAATCCCAGATTGTCCTGGACATGGGGGGGGTGACTTTTAAATACTCTGGACTGCCCACATTTCAGCACAACTTCTGTATGCCTCCATACACTTTGGACTCCGGGTGGGAGGTGACTTCAAAATGTTCATGGAAGTTGCATTTCAGCACAAATTGTTTGTGCTGCCACTTACTCCG